AACTCAGCAGAAAACTCAGGTTGTGCAGATTCCTTCAGTGTCCATATTAATTTTAGAGAGTCCCCGGTACTCTGCTTGTACCAGTCGACTTCTCTACGGCTGAACTGTGAATTCTTACGCAGATCACATGTGAAGGTTACAGTTTCACCAAGCTGAACTGAAGTTATCGGGATAAGTGTATCTAAATTGAAAGAAAACATACAGAATCTACAATATTAAGTCACAATGACCTAGGAAAATCACCACAGAAACAAAATTCATGTATGGAGAAACCTTGAACAGAATAAAGAAAAAACTTACATCCTCGATGGAGATAAAGCAGTGTAACCAATAACACGATCATCTTGAAAGTGTCTCTTTTTGGGCAGCTTGCAGGTGTCTCATTAACTGTAGGAGGTGTTATAGCATGTTAAAGCGTGAAATGAATCTGATTGGTTACTACAGAATAAAGGTTCAAATGCACTTCCTGTCACACATTTCTGTTGTCCAGGGCAGGTCATCTCTTCCTTATATATTTAGCCATTTTAATTATAAGGTAAATTCCTTTTCTAATTAATGTTAGGGGTTCATCTTGTAGTTGTTTCGTCTTTGCTTTCCAATATTTACTTTCTTTGTTTATCATCTCTCAGCAATTTATCCAACTAAGTGATCGTTTTGGTCATTTGTTCCTATCATCTTCGAACAACCCCTTATAGTGTTTCTCAGTAGAAATGCTGTATTTTCACCAGTTTAAAATGTTCATGTTAACATTTTTAAGTTTAAACTTTCCTTTCAGTCATTCACTACTTTTCATTTGCTCCATGTTGACACACCTTGCTACTTTTTGTTTTCATTTTCACTTCCTGCCTGGTTAGGTTTAGACAATAAATCTAGGTTAGATCTCGAGTGTTATCTGATTTACAGTGCTCTGTCCTATCTAAGAGTGAAGACACCAGCACATATTTTACATGCATTTTCTTTACTTCCAATAGAGGTTGCTTTAGTCTAAAATTTAAATGGTCACAATTGCAGCTTGCACAATGGATCTATAGGGTCATTTCTGGTGTGTGGACTATTTGTGTTTTTGCTGCACAGCTATTTAGTGAGCTAAACACACTTCCAGCAACATCAGAAAGAACATATATATAGTGTAAAGCCCTACCCCCACCCCACAGAGGTCAGTAATTTGCACCAGAGGTACACTTCAACTGTGAGAGACAGAATGTGAAAAAAAAAATCCATGAATCCACATGGTAGGATTTGTAAAGAATTTATTCGTAAATCAGGGTGGAAAATAAGTATTTGGTCAATAACAAAAATACAACTCAATACTTTGTAACATAACCTTTGTTGGCAATAACAGAGGTCAAACGTTTACTATAGGTCTTTACCAGGTTTGCACACACAGTAGCTGGTATTTTGGCCCATTCCTCCATGCAGATCTTCTCGAGAGCAGTGATGTTTTGGGGCTGTCGCCGAGCAACACGGACTTTCAACTCCCGCCACAGATTTTCTATGGGGTTGAGGTCTGGAGACTGGCTAGGCCACTCCAGGACTTTCAAATGCTTCTTACGGAGCCACTCCTTTGTTGCCCAGGCGGTGTGTTTTGGATCATTGTCATGTTGGAAGACCCAGCCTCGTTTCATCTTCAAAGTTCTCACTGATGGAAGGAGGTTTTGGCTCAAAATCTCACGATACATGGCCCCATTCATTCTGTCCTTAACACGGATCAGTCGTCCTGTCCCCTTGGCAGAAAAACAGCCCCATAGCATGATGTTTCCACCCCCATGCTTCACAGTAGGTATGGTGTTCTTGGGATGCAACTCAGTATTCTTCTTCCTCCAAACACGACGAGTTGAGTTTATACCAAAAAGTTCTACTTTGGTTTCATCTGACCACATGACATTCTCCCAATCCTCTGCTGTATCATCCATGTGCTCTCTGGCAAACTTCAGACGGGCCTGGACATGCACTGGCTTCAGCAGCGGAACACGTCTGGCACTGCGGGATTTGATTCCCTGCCGTTGTAGTGTGTTACTGATGGTGACCTTTGTTACTTTGGTCCCAGCTCTCTGCAGGTCATTCACCAGGTCCCCCCGTGTGGTTCTGGGATCTTTGCTCACCGTTCTCATGATCATTTTGACCCCACGGGATGAGATCTTGCGTGGAGCCCCAGATCGAGGGAGATTATCAGTGGTCTTGTATGTCTTCCATTTTCTGATGATTGCTCCCACAGTTGATTTTTTCACACCAAGCTGCTTGCCTATTGTAGATTCACTCTTCCCAGTCTGGTGCAGGTCTACAATACTTTTCCTGGTGTCCTTCGAAAGCTCTTTGGTCTTGGCCATGGCGGAGTTTGGAGTCTGACTGTTTGAGGCTGTGGACAGGTGTCTTTTATACAGATGATGAGTTCAAACAGGTGCCATTCATACAGGTAACGAGTGGGGGACAGAAAAGCTTCTTACAGAAGACGTTACAGGTCTGTGAGAGCCAGAGATTTTCCTTGTTTGAGGTGACCAAATACTTATTTTCCACCCTAATTTACGAATAAATTCTTTACAAATCCTACCATGTGAATTCATGGATTTTTTTTTCACATTCTGTCTCTCACAGTTGAAGTGTACCTCTGGTGCAAATTACTGACCTCTGTCATCATTTTAAGTGGGGGAACTTGCACAATCGGTGGCTGACTAAATACTTTTTTGCCCCACTGTATTATGTATCTATGTATCTATCTATGTATCTATCTATCTATCTATCTATCTATCTATCTATCTATCTATCTATCTATCTCCTACCTACCTACCTACCTACCTACCTACTGTGGCTCAAAATACAGTGTTAATAAAGACTTTGTGTACAGTGTCCAAAATCAACTGTCTTACTGATCATTGTATTTGGATGCCATTATTTGCACTGTTTCATTCTAAATCCCATACTTTACGAGAGTATAACACTGAGCTACACATGGCAATAAAATAAGGTACTGTGCAAAATGTTGTGCCAACACCTTTAGTACCAAAATAGGAAATAGGAGAGTGATTTACTGAAAGTTGCACAAATAGAGGAAAACAGAGTACATAAGACAAAAATATCTTATACAATTCTAATGACTTTCAAAGTCATATTTGGTATGTAAATAGTTTTTTTTAGGCGAACCACTTTTTTAGCATCCTCTGCTTCTGCAGTTTACTTAAGTTTCCAACATAGCATGCTACTATTCACCAAGTTTTCAGCTAATTGCTTTTTGGGAAATGCCTTGTTGCCCATCAAACTGCAACAGGCTGTTTGTAACAAAGCATTTCAAATTACAATTAAAAACTGGTTCTGTGCTAATTCATCTGTTATGACTATAGATGAGTGAAAAAACATCCAAATGTCCAAAGTAAGACCTCTAGAAAGCCTGGGGAACTACTGCTCAAGAGCACTAAAAACTAAAACATTGTTTTGGGCCTGCAATTTATTGAAAACACTGCTTAAAATGAAACAGGCTGTTTTAGAGCTGATCAAAGTTTAGGACCACACCTCAAAAAAACCCATAAAAAAACAGAAATCAAAGTTCCAAACATGAACTCAGTAATGAGTAGCTCCACCGTTATTGTTGATCACTTCAAAAATTGTTGCGGCATGCTTGATGCAAGCGTTTCCATGAGGTGAGTGGGAACATTTCCAAGTGGTGAAGACGGCCACGAAGGGCATCTACTGTCTGGAACTGTTTGTCCATTTTTGTAACTTCCCTTGCCATCCATCCCCAAAGGTTCTCAAGATTTAGATCAGGGAACATGCAGGATGGTCCAAAAGAGTGATGTATTCTCCTGGAAGAAGTCCTTGTCCTGCAGGCATTGTGTACTGTAGCGATGTCTTTTTGAAAACACTCAGTAGTTACCACACAGACGGGGGCCCTCAGTCATGAGGGATGCTCTCTGCAACATCTTGACATAGCCAGCAGCCATTTAATACCCCTGCACCTCCTGAAGCCCCATTTTTCCACTGAAGGAAAAAGCACCCCAGACCATTATGGCGCCCCCTCCACTGTGGCAAGTAGAAAACATTTCAGGTGGGATCTGCTTGTCATGCCAATAATGTTAGAAACTATCAGGACCATCAAGGTTACATTGTTTCTCATCAGAGAATAAAACTTTGTTCCACCTTTCAGTGTCCCATGTTTGGAGCTCTCTTGCAAAGTCCAAA